TGATAAGTATCTATATAATATATTAGTACCGCCTGTCAGTGTGTCGATTATTTTAAACCTTTATTTTTATCAATTACTAGCTTCTGCCCGCGACTTCGTACGCGCCATTCCGATATTTCCCGTTCCCGTTCTTGATTTTCGGTAAAAAGTAAAAAAAAAGAATTGGGTAAAAAGTATCCTATGTCCGTCTCCTGGTTCTAAGCTACCTCCCCACCAATTTTCATCCAAATCGATTTAGCCATTCTTGAGTTATAAATAGTGTAACTAACACGACTTTCTTTTATATATATAGATTAAGGTGTGCCACTTATTTCTGAGTCATTTACACGTGTTATTTCTGATTTTATAACTGTTATTAGATTGATTATTGAAATTTAATTTCTATCCAAAGACAAACACAGGAAGTCATTGTATTTTTTTTATTTATTCCTTGCTGTGCTCTTCGTCTTTTTTTTTTAAGTTCTATTAAACGTAACGTAAATTTATGTGTCTTACGAGAGTTATAATACTAAAACAATTATAATCATTAGTAATTAAAAATCATTAAAATACCAGTAGCAATCAAAATAAAAGTTATTAAAAAAATATAAATATGTAGTCAGAGGAAACTGTGAAGTAATTATACAGTTTATATAACATTTGTTTATTAATTATACAACATTTATTTACTATCCAGTTAGAAACAAAATTGCAATGTAAGACCAAAATACAAAATTAATGATAAGAGCAGAGTCGTAGTAAATCACTAGTAATTAGATGTATTGGATATTTGTCTTACTGGCCTCCCGGTATCTGTCTATGATTGCACTGACCTCTGTCCTCTGCGCCTCATTATCTATAAGGTATAAAGAAGTCAAAATGATGTACTCAGGCTCCTGCACTCATTAGCAGTTACTCAGTAAAAACTGAAAGGGCGATACACGCGACGTTTTTTTTTACATACACTAACACAGTGAATGATTAAAAGTCCTTTGATTTATATGATAATCGGCTTTATTGCGTGCTTGTTGTGAAGGTAAACCTAATTAAATATGCTAATTTAATCTGATAATATTTTGCACGTTTTGTTTTATATTATGTATGGTATTTTTGGTGAATTAGCGATGCGAGACGCGTTTTGTGATGTGTTTGTATTGTATTGTATTTATACACATTTTTGTCACGTTTGAAGGTGCACGTGAGTTCCAGGAACTTGTTATTTATGTAATATAAATAATAAATACTTACTTAATTATATTTATATAGATATAATATGGAAGTAAGAATAAAATAGAAAAAAGTGTGTGCAAGCTTTCAAAATCATCGATTAAAAAGTTATTAAATAAACTCATTATAAATTGCGTTGCCCACAAATTCACTCGCTTTACTAAAGGTATGTGTGTATATTTTTCATGGTCTGTCTCCCCGTCATAGTTTATTAAAATCAATGTAATATTTTTTGCGAAAAAGTAACAGAATCTATCAATACATTACCTCTAGATTCACAATAATACCTATGACCTATATACATACCTATATACCAACCAATTTTGTCTTAGCTAGAGAAATAATTTCGACACGCCAATTTTTATCGATCAATGTGACACGAAAATAAAAATTAATTGGTCCAATTAAATGCTGTGAATTAATTAGAAGCAACATGATAAAGTGGTTACGATATTTTATACATGTTAACTGTCCAGTGTCCAATGAATTATGGACTCTGTAATTTCTATATTTACACTGGTTTCCTTACAGTATTATCTGTTTGGCGAACCTACTTGATACTTATACGGATGGAATTTGATCGGGGATGTAGTTAGCTAATTTGTGATTCCTTGTGCTTTGTACACTTGAGAGCCAAAAAAGGAGCCACTGACGGTTTTTTTTTTCATTTTATTGAACCCTCGGTAGCTTAAAAAATACTTTTAATAAAACCACAAACTAAAAACAAAAAAAATATTATTCATTGTACTCAGTTCCTCGTCCTACCTACAACACCTGCTGAAAGTTAAGATGTCGGTGCCCTCTTTCCTAACAAAACTATTTATGAAAACTTAGGTAGGTGTATCTACTATGAGTATTGGTAAGTAATAGTTATTTAGTTTTGGGCTTTGGGCACCGACTTCTTAACGTTCAGCAGGCATTCTAACTAAATTACCTTCTATACGACATAACATAAGTTACCTACCAATTTTAAGTGTGGGAGAGCCATGCTTCGGCACGAATGGGCCGGCTCGACCGGATTGATGCCACGGCCTCACACAAAACCGACGTGAAACAACGCTTCCGTTATGTTTCGTCGTGTGAGTGAGGTTACCGGAGGCTCAATTACACCCCCCATCCCCTAATCCCTGAATCCCCAGCAATCCTCAAATTCCTAATCCCAAAAGGTTCCAGGTGTCTTTGGGCGAAGCCGATTGCTTACCATTAGGTGATCCGTCTGATCGTTTACCGGCTTAAATTATAAAAAAATCATAAAATACTTGTATCAGAAATTATTTATCAAGAAATGAAAACGAAAACACACCAGTGGCTCCGTTTCTCTGCTCTTAAGTGTAGGTAAAGAATGGGCGAACGTCCGTTTTTATTGTTAAACTGTTAAAGGGATCCGTTTGGCCATTCAGCCTACCTTCATTGTAAAATGAGTTTGTAATTTGTATGCATGATAAACTAAGTTGATACTTGATAGATGCATGAATTGTGACCGAAATGTTAAATGGTTTAAAATGGCGGTTTTTTGCGGTTTTCGGGAACAGTTAATTATTATTAATGGTCGTTAGCTGTTAGTGGTTAATCATACCGTAGAATATTACCACGAGTAAATATTACTTCAATTTTTTATTATTTTTATAAAATTCTCACTACTGCGTATGCGCAATTATTATGGTTTTGTTAAAATGCACAATGCCGTGTTATAAAATGTGCTTTGAAACAATTTGCTCTCAATGTATGGGTACTTATTTATACATAACTAGCTTCTACCCGCGACTTCGTACGCGCCATCCCGTTTATTCCCGTGCCCGTTCGTGATTTTCGAAATTCGTAATTTGGTGAAAGTAAAAAAAAATTGTAGTATTGGATAAAAAGTATTATTACTTTTCCTGCCACAGGTCCACAGGCAGAAATTCCATTAGGAATTGGTGGGACCTCTGTACTTTAATTTTATATATGTGTTGTCCTTTATGTTGGATGTGTGTACATAAATAAATATCCTATGTTCGTCTCCTGATTCTATGCTAACTCCCCACTAATTTTCATCCAAATCGATTTAGCCATTCTTGACTTATAAATAGTATAACTAACACGACTTTCTTTTATATAGATTACTTATTATTTTATACTATAAATAAAATTGTATACACCGATTCCTACATTTATATATCGTAAGCCAAAAATCATGTTGTACTATAGAAAAAACATATCATATCACAACTTCCCCAATGAGTTCATGATCTTAAAAGATATTTTTATAGTCCAAATGAACTTCAAACAAAACTTGAATGAAAGCGTAAATAGATAAGTAATAAATAATAGGTAGGTACGTGCGTAGATACGCAACTACGTCAGTAGGCAATATTTATTATGTGTTGATTTCTTTATTGTTTAAGAAATGATCTGCTAATCATAACAATACTTATCAATGACGATATCAATTTTAAAACAAAAATAGGTACTTAAGAAATTGCATTAAGTAGGTACATAACACATCTAAGTACCTACGATACGATACTTTTACGACTACCCTTTCAACCCAAAATAAGATTTGTTAAAAACATGTATGTGAAGACGAGATAATTTGTTCTTCTGATTTCTATCGTATATATCTTTCTTAATTTTATTAACGTTTGACCACTATCTCGCCTGGTAGTAAGCGATGATGTGACCTATGATGGTGTAACCTATTCACTAGGGCCTTGAAGGCACCCAGGTTATACCCTTCAGAAAATACAGGCTATGGCAAAGCATTCCACTCCTTAGCAGTACGCACAAGAAAGCTTGATGCATGTGGATGGGACATCTACCATGAATCGGTGACACTTCGCCGATTGTCTTGTGGTACGATGATGGAAAAGACTAGGGAATCAAGTTGTGCAGTTCCGCCGCCACTCTCCGAAATGTATACAGTAGAAGGCTTGCAAGCTTACGCCTGTATACGCATGCTCAAAAATGTTTAAAAATCGAACACCTATCGATTCGCGAACATGCCTGAATTGAGCATGCTAATTTTGAGCAACATTCCGAAACACATGCTACCAAGTGACACGTGTCATTTGCGGCATGCATTCGTGCTTAAAATTAGCATGTGTAACAGTACCTTTATTCTAAGGCCTGTTTTAATAAAACCTATCAAATAAACCGATAAAGTAAGAGTGACCGCAACTTGGGTCCATTAACACATAGTGGTATGCGATGACTCAAACGGAACTACTTCCGTCCGGGTCCTTCTATTAGGTGCCTACGTCTAGTGTCCAAAAGGCTCCATCATATTCGTAGGACTAATTAAATGACAGGTTGGCACTGTTTATTTTATTTTGATAGACCACGTCATAAAATCTTAAAGGACGTTAATATTTTGTGCGTCCAATAGGATTTATATGACGTCTTGACGTCAAACAAAAAGCTTTTTCATGGTCTTCTATGCTAAAATTAAACACACCTAATACCGTATAAATATTCTTACATTGACGGTCAATTAACAAAAAATGTTGAGTTTATTTCATGCATGATTCATATCGACTGCAAGGTTGGTGCGGTGGCTGGGCAACCGGCTGCGTGTTATAGGTAATAGTAGGCATGTCAAATTGTATGTTTCTAAACGCACTCCGAACATAGGCCACAACATAGAAAGAAAATCGTCAGGTGGAGCAACGTATAATAAAAACTCAGAAAGAAATTAATTGACATCCTTATTGGGGGTAAAGGGCTTTTTTAAACCAAAATATTATTACGGAACTAATAAGTATTATAAAATACGTATATAAATACTTATTTTTGTACCCTACTGTTCCAGATATATTATGGAGCTGGTCACACTGGCTAAGGAGGTATTCCAGAGTATAGCGGAGCATGCAGCGAGCTACCGGCTGGGGCAGTCGGTACTGAGGCACCTCGACCGCACACTATGGGTCGTTGAGAAGTGCGCAAGATGGGCCGTCCCGCCACCATGTAATTATTATTTATATATACGCTTTAATAGTTGGCTTGGATATACTTTTTTTAATGGGTTTATCGGTAAATGAGCAGACGGATCACCTGATGGTAAGCAATTGGCGTCGTCCATTGACACCTAAGAACACCAGAGGCCAGAAGGTTACAAGTACATTGCTGGCTTTTATGGATTAGGATTCGTGGATTGGGGAGGGGGGTAATTGGGCCTCCGGTAACCTCAGCCACACGTCGAAACACAACGCAAGTGTTGTTTCACGTCGGTTTTCTATGAGGCCGTGGTATCACTCCGGTCGAGCCGGCCCATTCGTGCCGAAGCATGGCTCTCCCACACTTTTATTTATTCCTAAACTCCTTTTTCCTTCATATCACTTCTCCGCTATTACAAACTGTTCATCTAACTAAGATAAATTTATGCAAGAGACATTATGTCTTCCATTACTCTCCTGCAGTTTACATTCCTAAAGAATACGTAATTATTCCAATTACTTGTGTTGTGACTATAATTGTGAATGTTTGAAAATGCATCTACCTCCATTTCAAAGAAGTATGAAGACTCTATATTAGTTAGTAGACTGTGGTATTGTGGCACTTCTTGAAGGACATAATACTAATTGGGTATGGAAAACTAGATTTTATGGGAAGTCAAGAAGGTTGTTTTTCTAACACAAGTAAATTGGTCGTTTCAGTGTTCAATACTCAATACTAATGTAAAGAAATACACTCTAGAATGTTCATAGAACTATGTTGTTAGGTACTTACTGACGAATTGTAGTTTTATTAGACAGTTTATATTGTTACCTATGTAGCTTTACAAACAAAAGCATTAGTTAACCTTGATTACAATCTGACGGTCCACACTAATCTTACGTTAAATCTAGTTTTACAATGACTAATATTGTTTTTTAAACAATGCACGTGGATTGTTCATAAATACGTATGAAAAGTCATTATGAAAACTGAAAACACATAGATATTTATTTGCAAGTGTCGTTAACAATATCTTCCTACTATTTTTTCTAATATGAGGTTTACTCATGTTTATGAGCCCCGGTATGGTTTGAAATTACTTGAGCCTTCTCAAACAACTCGTGATTGAAATGTTACTCACATTTACTGATACCGTTTGATACCGTATACATTTACTGATGGCCGTACTGTACATAAACAAATTAACAAAAAACAAATACTATAAATGCTGTTTTTAAACTTTCCAAGGATAATATAATATCCTTTCAAGGTGGATTAAATTCGTGCGACTAGTCATACAGGACAGTTAACAAACAATCCTTACTAATATTATAAATCAGAAAGTGAGTATGTTTGTTTGTTTGTTTGTTCCGCTTTCACGTCGTAACTACTAATACGATTGCTTTGAATTTTTGCAGACGTAAAGTTAGAAGTCCGGATTAAATAACGGATAAATAAATAGGGTACTTTTTATCCCAGAAAAATTTGATGTTCCCGAGGGAAAACAAAAGTATTGGTATAGATGGCGCTATGTGTATTGGTAGGTATATGTCACATAGGCAACTTTTTATCCTTTTGTGACGCGAGCGAAGCCCCGGGTAAAAGCTAGTGAGATGTAAAACATAATTCAACACGCAATCAACAAAACTTTTAAAATAGACAAATAACACAACACTAGAAGCATAATGCTCTCTTTTTTCTACTCCGCCTTGATAAAGTTATCATGAATGTTGTTGTTAAATAATTGTATCTATCACATTATCTGTGTGTGTGAATCATGCGCGTTATAATGTTCGTCTGCTGATTACAGCGCTTGAAGTACGAATTAAGCCGAGATTGAGCTAAGCCTGTGCGAAACAGGGCTTAATTTTGTGATATGCCTGTAGTCTCTACTGTTGACATGATAAAAACGCAATTTTGTCGGTTGTCAATAGTTAACTGATCTGTTTTACTTTTATCAATAAGAGAAAATTAAAAAGGGTTTCCTTTTTTGGTTGCAACAAAGCTTACGGATTACCTGATGGTAAGCAGTTAGTATGACCTAAGTACACCTGGAACACCAGAGTCATCACTAATGCGTTGCTGACCATGTAGCAAACTGTTTAATAGTGCCATAATTTTCGGCTAATACTTCCCCTTCGAAAACAATGGAACAACCAACTGCCAACAACCAGGCTCCACCACCGTAAATATAACCATCCTTTTTCTGTCTACAACCTAAAATTAATTATTATGTTTTTCGACATACTCAGGCTCACTCAACATAATAATTAATTTAGTATGTCTCACGAAAGTTATAAACACAATGAAAATTCATAACTTGGTTTGTTCTTTAATATTTATTGTACGAAATTGAGACGAGGTAGCGTTACTGCGATACTCCTATGTTCAGCATTAGACACTTGAAAGTCTTGTGACTGATATGAGAATGATGATGAAAACGGTCTTTCTAATAATACCGTTCTAATCTCCCGTATGTCTGTTACTTCCAGTGGATCAGGACGAGCGTCCCCAACCAGAGTTAGTGCGGCCTCTACCATGGGTGTTCTTCCTAGCACTCATAGTGGCGTTGCGAATCACCCGGGAGTCTATATCACTCATTAACCTTGTTATGGGGAAACCGCCGCTGAGATCTGCCGATGTGGTAAGTAATAATTAAAATTGTGACTAGGATTGTAGTCCGTTTTGTATCTGTATGTGATATACTGTTTGAAAAGATATGCAATGCGACGGTTTCAATTAGAGACACATTATGTATTTTTGGGGCAAATAATATTTATTTTTTTAATTTATTTAAATTCAGAGACAATATCGCACATTAACATCTATAAATTGGGTACCATAGTTTTAAAACTTGGACTGTAGGTTTACTCTTAATTGATGGGGGGGACCAATAAACCGGTATCTGGATCATTACAGGCTGTTAAATACCTAATATATTTTAAATAGAGCATAATGAAAACCCAAATGTTAAATTCTTAAAGCTGTATAATAATTCAACTAATATTAGTTGACAAAATCCGTGAAACCAAATTTTAAAAATTAATTTCCATCTGCAAATTACTTGTAATAATTGCGAACTTCTTATCTAAATTCCAGGTGATGTACATACAAAGTCACCGTCGCTATCTCCGCACACTAAAGTACCAGGGCAACAGATTGAGTCGCGCGCGCACTAGTAGTGGCCAGCCGCGCCAGTCCTGGGCGTCCGCGCTACATTCACTCTTCGAGTTCACCATGTGCTTCCGACGACACTCACACCATTATGGCAATAACAACAGCACCCATGTCAGCAATAATGAAGAAGTTTTGGTAAGTTTTCTAACAAATTATTGATTTTAACTTCTTTCTGAAAATTACTGTACGATGCCCGCAAAGAATAATATGTATATGATCTCCAAATTCTGCTTTAATTCTCAGTGTGATGTATGATATTTGTATAATCGCAGTTTGAACAATGTTTGTAAATGCAACTATTCTGCACATCGGGAAATTCCTTGTCCTAGAGTTTGAAAGAAAAATAAAATTCCTTATTTTGAAAAGATATTAGAAGCTTATTAATATCGTTTACATCGGGAAAAATCAGTTTCGCATTACGTTGCACGAAATAATTGTACCAATGCCTAAGAAGGGGTTTTGTAAAACGTTCCAATACGTTGCAGAGGTGAAAAAAACAATCATGTTTATTAGTTGACGTAAAACAATGATACGGTCTGTCGAGTCAGATTTACATACAAATCCCATGCGCCGTGTGAATTGTGTCAGTCGATATTTTGTTTTAAACCGTGATTTAAACAATGAACCCAATTTCAACACGCGGGGTGAGTTAGATCCGTTCCGAGAAATGTATTTAGATCATGTATGTTATATTATTTTAAAATCAACAATATAATATTAAACTAACCCGGGTTTTAGAGGACTTTAGTTCTATAACAGTAAGATAATATAATATTTTCTATGTTTATTTAATATGTTTCTTTTGTAGGTGGTAAAGAGAAGTAAGCGCGGCCGTGAGCACGCGAGCCCCTCTGCATCCACCAGCGAGACCACCATGGAACGACTTATCGAGAAGATGATGGTGGACCTAGATGCCGACTCCGATGAAGACTCCAGTTTTACGGTATATTCATTTTTTGTTTCTTTCTATACAAAGAACCTGTGGTTGACAGTTTTGATGTAGTTGACTTGTTAATTCTCTACTATTTTAGACTGTAGTTAATAAGTTACAAAATAATGTAGTTGGTAAGATACTTAAATTTAAATATTAAATAAATTTAAAATGTCAAACACGGCGCGGTCACCGGTGACCGCAACCTATTGTTCTTTAATTGTGTCTATAATGACGGTACTCAAAGAGTTAAATGTGTAATTATTTGTGGGGTTTTGCGCAGATTTTAGATTGATGATGTCGACTTTTAATAAGTTTTGGTGTATTGCTCAATAAGGTTGAATAATAAAGGTTGATGAATAATAAACATTTTAACACATTACAGTTGACCAACGTGACAAGTCCAAAGAGCGACAGGTCAGACTTCACAACAGAGTCGGACCAGGACACGATATATCAAAACAACGTCTCAGACAAGGCGAATGAGGAAAACGGCCCAGTCGACTCACCATACTCACCCAACATGTCTGAAGCTCCCTGCTCCACGCCCGAAAGAACAGAAGAAGTTATCAATGAACCCGAATCTCCAGTAACAGAGAAGGAAGAAGAAAAAATAGAAAAAGAGAAGATAGAAGATTCTTCTACTGAACCAGAAGTACTTTCAGCCAAAGAACAAACGCTAAGGTTCATACAACATGAGACGGCCCCATCAAAAATTCCCCGCTCACCGAACAATGAACAGAAAATCGGTACGAAATTAAAGATTTGGTCTATTAAAATGAAAGAGAAATTTTCTAAGCAACATCATACGATACTTGGTACGTTAGAGTGTTGACAACTATAATTTTGTTTGTTTTTCAGCCAATGGGCGAGTAAAGAGTGTGCCCGGCAAAAAGAAAGGTATTCTGATGATTTTATGATGTCGAAGCTTTGTCTGCCATCTTGCCATTTCAAACGCTCATTAGAAAATCTTTCATCTTCGCTTAGCTCTTCAAAGTATCGATAGTGTTTGCTCTTTCGTTCTGAGTACGAGTGGAGGGGATATTGTTACTTCTTATATTTCTATGGCATCCAAAATGATATCACGGTTTTCCCCTGAGAAAATATTAATGAACACTCGACGTTAACGTTAAACGTAATTGAAACACTTTCGTTGTGTGCGTGAGGTTACCGAAGACCCGATTACCCCCCCCCCAATCTCCCCAATCCCTGAATTTCCATCAATCCTCAAAGTCCTAATCCCCGAAAGGTCGGTACCGCACTTGTAACGCCACTAGTGTTCTGGGTGTCCAGTCCTTGGGAGACGCCGTTTGCTTATCATCAGGTGATCCGTTCCATCTGCTCGTTTACCGGTTTATCCCATAAAATATCGATGTTTTACTTTTAGTTACTTATTTGGAAACATTTCTCGACATTAGAACTTTTTTGGTGTCACAACACAATACACATCAGCCGATTCCCCAGCGGTACTTTTATCTTTAAAAAAAAGGTATGCACCTTTTTGATTTTATGAAAAGCCTAAAAGTATCATTTGAATAATATAACGAATATTAAGTAACCATTCGTTGAATAATCTACAAGTAACAATATCCACTAAAACTCTAAACCACGCATGATTCATAATTATTTTCGCGTGAATGTGAACATTCAGGAAATGGTTGTAAAACGTCCCGTTTATCTCTATACTGATAACGGCCGCCTTTCTACCGTTATCAATTTCATTGTTATATAATGTTTTCTTACAATATGCAGTCAGCCGTAAAAATAATTTAGTTTGAAGTAAAAACATGTTGTAGCTACTGTTTCATTAACCGAGTGGTCGCAAGTGAGACTGCCGGGCAAGGGGTTCGATTCCCGGGTCGGGAAAAGTATTATTGGTTTTTTTTTTAATCTCAGTAGTAGCACGGAGTCTGGAAATGAGCCCGGTGTATGGCAGTAGGCTCACCCCCTATTATATGAGACTCATAACATACAATAGTGAAAAATTGGTATTACATAGTACAGTGGCATTAACTGCCGTAATATGCACCTCTACCTACCCTGTAGTAGCTACTGCCACGCAAGGTTGCACGATAAAATTCATTACTTTCTGCTCTTTTTGCTAAAAACATTTTTTTTTATTATGTAAGTGTATATTGATTTCATTTTCAATGATCGTTTTCATTTGCTAAGTTTTCGTGATTTGTACGGTCTCAAGACTTCGAATGCAAGTTAATTTTGAATACTTGTTTTATAGTCTTTTGATGTGTGCTTGTTTACGATTTGTTATGTGTATGCGAATGATAAAAACCACTGATATGAAACGTATATTTTGTTTATGACAATGCATGAACGTTGATTCAACGAAATAAGTATGAGAATGATAAATGATACTTTTGAACTAGATTAATATGTTTTACACGCTTTTTGCTCGCGACTTGAATGGATTTATACGCGCATAAAATCCTGCTTGTGACCGATAAATGGACATACCCATTGTTATTTTAGTAATCTTTATATATATCATTCTTCTGTGAGTGTGTATGTCACTGAACTTCTCTCAAACGACTGGACCGATTTTGATGAAATTTTGTGTGTGTGATCAAGGGGCAAGCAAGGGGATCTGGGAATGGTTTAGATTCACAAATCAGCCCGGCAGATAGCGCTGCAGTCGCTATGTAGGTAATTTATCTATACCTATTATTATATTATTATTATTATATGCAGGACAACGTCTGTCGGGTCCGCTAGTATTTAAATAAAATGAAATCTTCGTACGTAAGTCTCGCTAATACTCGAGACAGGGTGAACCGATTTGACTAGGTTTGGTCTCAAAATGTTCGTGGAAGTACAAAGAAGGTTTTGAAGGTGAAAAAAAAAATTTATGCGTACGAGTTCGTGGGTCAGTAGTCTATAAAGGCTCAAGAGCCATTTCAGATGGTGACCTAACAGGGCTGATGGGTAGGAGCGCGGAAGATTACGAGTTGCCGGGGCTCCGGCTCGAAGTGCAGGAGTAGGAACGGGGTGGTTTTTAGTCAGTAAGAGTCTGACACTCCCTCTTGCCTCACCCGCGCGAGAGAAGCCATTAGATGATTTTCACCCCTCAAAAAATAATAATGTAATAATAATAATCTTTATTACGCAAAAGGTACATACAAAGAAAGAAAGAAAGAAAAACCATTTATTTTGCTACGACACACAACAAGAATTTAGGAGCACACTAAAAATAATAGTTTAGTAGTTATACATTAGTCTAAAATTAAAACTCTGATCTCTGTACTAGGTAAAGATAAAGATAAAGATAAAGATATTTTTTATTTGCGTTAACATGAGTAATATTACAAGAGTACATGCAATGGTGTTAAGTTACGAGTATGAGCTACATGTTATGCCGTTTTGGCGTACAAATATTTAAAATTATTATTTAATATTAAAGTAGGTAGTGAAAAAAAAAAATATATATATATAAACATGCAAACCTAAACAATATTAACCGTTACAGGTACAACAAAATTATGTTAATTGTATTACAAGTCAAATTTATCTTTTAAAAAATCTTCTATATTATAATAACATTTCTTATGTAACAAACGTTTGAGTTTATTTTTAAACATGTTAAAATTTAAGGCTTGTATGCATTTAGGTATTTTATTATAAATTTTAGGACCCAGACATAATATGCTTTTGTGCAACAATGCAGTTCTAGATGGATGAATGCAAATGTTATTATTACGTCGATTTCTAACATGATATTCGGATAAGCGCGGAAACAAGTGCAAGTTGCTTCTAACAAACAATGCAACTTCAAGTATGTATAGAGACGGAAGTGTTAAAATTTTGTATTCACCAAATAGCGGCCTACAACTGTCCATACTTTTTATTCCGAACATAGCTCTTATGCAACGTTTTTGTTGTTTGAAGACTATATCCTTGTGAGTGGAATTACCCCAAAAGATTATCCCAAACCTCAGTACCGACTCGACAAGGCCGTAATATGCTGTGAGTAAAGTTTCCTTGTTAACGGTAGGTGCCAGTTTATAAAGGGCGTATGCTGACTTACTAACTTTTTTACTTAGTCCGTCAATATGGTTTTTCCAACTGAGTTGACTATCAATAATTAAACCCAAGAATCGAGTTGTGTCCACTTTTTGTATAGTATACTCGTTATAAATAAGATTAACTGGTAGTGAATTAGTGATGTTTTCTCGCTGTCTAAAGTGCATTATATTGGTTTTTTTGAGGTTAATTTTTAAATTATTGTTATTAAGCCAGTCGATTATATTTGACAAGGAATTATTTATTTCGAAATTGTAATTATTTGGATCTTTAGATTTTATTGTTACGGTGCTATCGTCAGCAAAAAGGACCATAGGTTCTGTTGTGGCCGAAGGTAGGTCATTTATGTACAATAAGAACAAAAGGGGACCTAATACACTACCTTGTGGGACGCCATAGGATACGTCACGCTTATGAGATGTAAATATCTGTTCCCTTTTAGTTGTTGGATTGAACTTTGTTATTTCTGTTATTTGTTGACGATCTGTTAAATATGACCTGATCAATTCCAATATATTACCTCGTATACCGTATGCTGACAGTTTTTCTACTAAAATATTATGATCTACGCAGTCAAAAGCTTGAGACATATCGCAATATATTGAGCAGACAGGCAAAGACTTGTCGACATGAGTGTATACATCGTACAAGAAGTCATAAACTGCCATGTTAATATTATTTCCTTGCCTGAAACCCTTTTGATTATTACATAGAATCTTATGTTTTTCTAAATAACTATTGATTTCTGTGTACAAGTATTTCTCAAATATTTTCGAGAATATAGGTATAAGAGCTATTGGTCGGTAGTTCTCCATTAAAAATTTATCCTCTTTTTTATGCAAGGGTTTTATGATAGTTAGTTTTAAGTTTTTTGGGAACGTACCATTTACTATACACAGGTTTAAGATATGGCTTAAATGGCCTGCAATACTGCAATCTACTGATTTAATTATTTTAGTGGGTATTCCGTCATAACCGACACTATTTGTGTTTCTTAAATTATTTATAATTCTTAACATCTGAATCGGTAGACAAGGGGACATGAACATGGAGTTAGTGTTGTGGCTAATCAATCTCGTAGTTTCTTTACTTGTACGAACGGTAGGTTGTACTTTTTCAATAAAATATTTATTAAATGCGTTCGCTATATTTGTAGGGTTTTGAATAATAGTGTTATTAATTTTTATTTTATCTATCGATTCTTTTGGTACTGAAGTTTTGTTATTGTTAATTACTTGCCATGTTGATTTACTTTTATTAGTTGATGTATTTATTTTATAATTATTTTGAGCCCGTTTTGTTAGGTTTATAATTGTTTTAATTCTTTTCGAATAGTTTTTATAATTTAATTTGTTTAGATGTGAGGGTTTACGCCTAAAATTCCACAGCATTTCTTTTTTCTTTTTAGAACATATTTTAATTCCACGAGACAACCATTTAGGTTTGTTATTTACTCTTATTAAAAATTTTTTTAACGGAAAACATAAGTCGAAAAATAATTTAAATGTATCTATGAAGTTACTATATGCTAATGTTGGGTCATCAGTTTCGTATATAGGGTACCTGTATCACGGAGATCAGTGCTCAAAGTAAGAACTGTAGTACACTTAGTGAACCCATTGTGGTATTATCGACAGTATTTTGTTTTGAGTAGGTATACTATTGTTGTAGAATTCCTAAAAGTGTGTTATTTTTCTTATTCGCTAACGGTTTTGAAAAAGAACGAATCTTAGTAGTTAGGGCTGTTTTGTTTTTTAAATTGTATTCTTATTACTTTTTTTCTCCTTTAACCCTTTGAGTACCGTCATTAAAGACACAATTAAAGAACAATAGGTTGCGGTCACCGGGGTCTTCACGGTGTTTGACAGTTTAAGTGTGCTCTTGGTAGATAATTAAATGTGAAAACATATATTCAATTAATTTAACAAATAAATATATACATTGTAATAGATATAGCTACTATGTTGTAACAGCAACGTAGACCATAATTTCACAGAAACACATAATACGTCTTGTTTTAATACCAAACGATTCGTCGATAGCAAACAATACCAAATTAAAAATTCCATTAGCTCACCATTTTACGACCAGTCTCCATTGAGATATTGTCCTTGAGTTATTTACTTTGTCATCTGACAGCACAATGCATGTTAATTGTAACAAATTAGAAACATTATGTTCTTGGATAATCATTGTTATATAATTATGGAGAGAAAAATGCATCACACAAAACCACAATGTTTTAGATGAAGTGAAAAAACAGACTTAAACTGTCAAACACCGCGAGGACACCGGTGACCGCAACCTATTGTTATTTAATTGTGTCTAGAATGACGGTACTCAAAGGATAAAAAAACTAATAAACGAAAAGTAAATAGTCGAAAATAACTATTATTGATCATACGTACTTATAGGTTACCTAGGATAGGTAAGAAGTAGGTGCCACTGATACTTAAGAAAAATAGCTACATACAGCCGAATTGATAACATCCTCCTTTTTGGGAAGTTGATTAAAAATTGGTTGCAATTCCAATAATGTGACGAGATTAGAAAACCACATAGTCATCAGTGTTTTAGAGAATACCGTAAAATGGGGTGAATAAGGACAGAATAGGGGTGAATCGATACTATGAAGAATTTCCTTTTATCTAATCTATTCACCCCTCTTCCGGCCCTTTTCGCCGCTCAAACCCTAGTCACCCCATTTTACCATACACTATTTTGTTAACTGTCTAGTACCCAATTACCATTACGAACCATATTATAGACTAGCTACTTCCGCGTGGTTTCACACGCTCTGCTCAGCTTCTATTGGTCGCAACGTGATGTTTTATAGCCTATAGCCATCCTCGATAAATGCGCTATCCAACACAAAAAGAATTATTCAAATCAGACTTGTAGTTACGGAGATTAGAGCGTTTAAACAAACAAACAAACAAAAAAACCATCTTCTGCTTTATATAATAGTATAAGATAAGATAACTCATACATCCCCAAGCGGTCACCGGTGACCGCTCTCCACTAACTACATTATAGACCTTATTTCCAATGTTTAGAGACTACTTTTGTATGAACAAATTTAGGGTATGAATTTCAACGATTTCTCACTAATTGAATATTCTCAGTAATTTTTGTTCACACATTTACATAATATGTTCAGCTCTTACATTTCCATGAACGAAGAGGCTTTATGTTCTTGCCCGAAGCATGTTCAATAAAATACTGTCAAATGATGCCTGCTCAGTTTCACCCCTTTGAATCATACGCACGCACCCTTTAATAAAAGCTAAAAGCACCCTTATTCTGTTAATAGTAAGGGTTGTTTTCACATTTGTAATATCATTAAATCTCATTTTTTTAATGTGAATATCATCAATATTATAAATATTTGTATGTATTCAGGAACCCCAGTAGCGGAGAAAGATAGAAGAAACTCAGACTCGCAGGGTGGGAAGAATTCATCGTCCAACAGCATGTAAGGAGGATACAAAGGTAATTTATTAATTCGGTACTTGCCAACTAATCAAATTCAATACTTTTTTCGAACTATCAAAAACGACAGTTTTCTATGAACTTTGTACGAGATTGTGTATTGTGACGTCACGTTTTTTTTAACGTCAAACAGCATACCTATTTCATAAATATTTGCTGAAGAAATACTAAAATTAAGTTGGTCATAAAATCAATTAATGAAAGTGTGATAATTTATAATTTTTTTATATCTTACTAGCTTTACCCGCGGCTTCGCTCACGTCACAAAAGGATAAAAAGGTAGCTTAAGTGACATATACCAATACACACAGCGCCATCTATACCTCTTCTATATCTATACTTTTGTTTTCCCTCGGGAATGCCAAATTTTTCCGGGATAAAAAGTACCCTATTATTTAATCCGGACTTCTAACTTTACGTCTGCAAAAATTCAAAGCAATCGTTAAGTGGTTACGGCGTGAAAGCGGAACAAACAAACAAACTCACTTTCCGATTTATAATATTAGTAAGGATTGTATTGAACAGTCGAAATTATTTATTTTTGATGAAGGCAAATACCTAATTCTGTTAGTTATATACCTATATTTTTATATGGATAATGATTGACCGCTTTGGCCACTATCTCGCCTGGAGGTAGCGATGATACGGCCTACGTTGGAGCACGCGTGCTTATAAGCAATCTTTTCAATTGGGCTTTTAAAAAAATAAGTTATACTAATATTACTCTTATACTGACAATTAAATTGACTGAAAAAACATAACACACAAGAATAATAATAAGTACTCCACGGTTGGCGCGGTGGTTGGGCAACTGGCTACCGCCCAACGTGTCACGGGTTCGATTCCCGCACGGAATAACTCTTAGTGTGATCCACAGATTGTTGTTCCAGGTCTGGGTGTCATGTGTATGTGAACTTGTATGTTTGTAAACGCACCCACGACACAGGAGAAAATCCTAGTGTGGGGAATTAAGCAATCGATCAGCCTGTACCACCACTAAACCGATTGCTGATGAAGCCGATATTTAGTATATAATCTAAAAATAACATAATGCTAATAATAATTAGCATTATGTTATTTTATTAAAACATTTTAATTGTGTGTTAGTCTTGTAGGATAATTCGTTAAGTAAACACCTTGTAATAAATAAATATTTTTTAAATTAAATATTTTTTTTTATGAAAAATCAAAACGTAAAATCTTCCAAAGAAAGTTTTAATTCAGCCCCTTATCAATATGTAATCATAACCATTATAGTGACTAATTTAGCTGCATGGCTAATATTGAAACTTCACTTCAAGGTTGCGATATGCAATCAAGACGTATTCTACTATCTACTAGTTTTATGCGCTGCATCAAGATGTTTAACCGCTTGACAGTCGGTATATAAGACACAATACAAACTAAATTATGTCTCGCGTGGATCCGCGTTTAGGGACACGACGGGTTAATACTAACATTTGTCCTGTGAATTTAGACTATGTCATCCAATGCCAATGACATGCCAAGTCATCAGTCTTGTCATGTCATTGGCATTGGCAATGGCCTAATGGCCTTTAATGGCCGTTAGGCCCAATTACTCCCCTCCCCAATCTTCGAATCTCCACCAATCCTCAAATTCTTAATCCCCAAAAGATCGGTAGCACTTGTAATACCTCTGGTGTTCCGGGTGTCCATGAGCGACGACGACCGCTTACTATCAGGTGATCCGTCTACTCGTTTACCAGCTTATCCCATAAAAAAAACTATAATTTTGTGTTTCTCTATACCTACCTCTCAATATTTTTTGACTAAAAATTAATAGTACAGGTATAAAACCTACCTAAATTATTACGTTATCCTAAATTTAGTGATAGGCTCACCAACTTCATTTTACATACTTTCAGTCGGTGTTAGATTTTACTGTCTCTACTTACCTCTGAGAGGCTTCAATGCTTTTAATGTTTATTAATTGACTAACAATAATTAAGCTTATATATGTTTTTTTTTTCAGTAAATCTCACACAGTCAATCATGCGATGCTGCCGTGCAGTTTGTGAATAGTTTAAGTTTATATTTAACTGTTAATTTCTTCGCTAAAAGCCGTTCACTAAGTTCACGTTATCTAAAGTAAGGTTAAAATACTAATTTAAGTGAACTGTAAGTTATTTCATCCATTTTAAATATATTTTTATTAATTTAGACGTTTTATCTTTTAAAATAATGCCATTCTAATCTATTGTACAATGTTACATATTCATATGAGCAATTATTGTCCATTATAATGTCTGAAGAAGCACTTTTGTAACACAACAAAATATTGCACCGTATTTATAATGCCGTAAGGTCGGTAATTGAATGGCGTGTATAATAAGGCCTGTTTACATCTCAAGGTATTTGCAATTGACAAGTAAATTAACATAAGAAATACACTGTAATTAGTAATGCCACATTTTCACGTTTTTCCTATACTGAAAGTGTAAACAGGGCCTTATTATGATTATTACTTATCTGTGAACAACATCTGTTTGTCGTTGCGTCCAAGAACGAATTTATTTTATGCATTTTATTATTGAATCTCGCATTTTTTTCGTTCATACGTAAACTACGTGTAATTAATAAATGTTCGAGTCGGTAGACAAACTTATATTTAACATTTTTTATGAGACTAACATAAATGCAGTCATTCATGTTAAAGTTTGTTCTTATTTCAAAATAATATACTTAAATTCATATGCATTTATAACATTGTTTTAAAGATTCCTCTCGATTTTTCATCTGAATAAATAGTCTTACAGTCGTCATTTATAATCGATAATTAAATCAACATTGGTGCATGCGTGTTTTATGTAACTTTATGTATAGTAAATAGTCAATTATATATAATATTATACATTCACTATGTGTAATTTTTTATTAATTTTGAGACCAGTTCGAAGTTATTTTTATTTATTTTATTCCCTTTTGGAGTTCCTCTAGTAATCGTTTTTTTTATTTACAACTTTTTTAAATTAAGTAAAGTCTAATAAATTAAGAATTGAGTTTTTTTAAATAGGGTAATAAGATATTAATCATGATTCCAATAGCTACCATAGATATATCAATAATAACAATTGTTAATTAACCTTTTTTTACTTTTTTGCTATGTTAGGATGTTATTCTCGACTTAATACTCATTTTTAAAAGTTCATCTCATATTAAAATTAAAATCAAATAATTCCAGTGTTCCTGTGTAAGTGCAATTATACATATTAGAATTATCTGTAGAAATTATTGCAATGTTATAAAATTTATTTATTATTTTCATTTTTCCAAAGATTTGGCTGTGTACAGATCATTTTAATATAAAAGACTGATGAAATTGTAACAACTATTAATATTATGAATGATTTTCGTTTCCTAAATTATGTAATCTATTTTTATAAATTTGATATGTTGTAAATTATGAAATTATTGTTACAAATAATATATCTTTAACAATATTATGTGGTTTAATTTTTCCTGTTTTGAGTTTTATCATTTTGTTCTAGAATGTTTTAGACACTGCTTGCTGCTGTTACTAACTGATATCGGTTCTCGTAATCTCTGATACCGTTACGTTTATTTTGTTTTGCAATATTGGTCTGGCAATTTCTTTGTTGCTACTTGCTACATACTTGGCCTTCAATTAGCTTTCTATTCGGTGTCTTAAGCCTTTGACTGCCGACAGAAAACTGTTGAAAGTAAATCCTCCGCTATCGTGGCCCATACCTTGTCCTATGTACAGCTATGAACAGCCTTAAAAGCTTAAGTTAATAAAACGTAATTGTAATAAATTCTTTGATTTCTAACAATTCCTAATAAAAATGTTGTGGAAAATATTTCAAAAAGTACAATTGTTTCCGCCCGGGATCGAACCGGGGGCCTTGTGCGTGTGAAGCACACGTGATAACCGCTACACTACGGAAACGTTGTGATTAGTGTCAAAATAGTTGCACACTATCTGAGAGGTTACGAAGTCTAATAAAATTGATAAATATTTGACAAGAGTTGTTTATAACTAAGCAACCTGTCGCTCAATGCTAATCCCGGGGACTAAACGAGATGGTTTGTTGCGTCTGACCAAAATAATTATAAGGCGTTCATATTGATACATAATAGTGAGTACGGGCTCGCCGCATCCCAGTCTCGCGGCTACTTCGCCCGCGGTAAGTCGCGGACGCGCGTCACCGTGTCACGCTATTGTCAGTGTTTAGTTGTGCAAATAATTGACTGTTCTAACGTGAAATAAACTAAAATCTAACACCATGGATCCCGAGGCCTTCTTGGACCTGGCCAACCAGGTCATTAAACTAAAAATGTACCCATATTTCGACATAGCACATTCTTTATTATGCGCTCTTGCAGTCAGAGAGGATTTAGGATCTGGTAAGTGGTATTTAATTTAATTTTAAATAAATCCCGCCAAAACAATAAGTTTGTTTGTCACACTTCCGCATCCTTTAATGTTTTTTTTTATAGCTGAAAGGTAATTTGTACGGAATGTTCTAAAATAAAAGACACCTAAACGAGTTTAAAAATAGATTGTTCCCGCAGCATCTAAAGCCCGAATAGCTCCAATAACATCTAAAGTTAACCGAACACAATATTATTTGCATAAACACAACATCATAGGAAATGACAAACCTTTGAAAATAAGAAAATAATTATATGGGTATCTATTTCCAAACAAGTTATTTCGGTTCTCACAATTTATCGTATGCATTCCTATCAACATCTTATCACTGACGTGGTCGCCTATAATTCGATGTTGTAAAAAATAATATTATTCATTAAAATATCCATGTATTAATGTTATTTACCTATTTTGTGGTTAGGTTAGGTTTTAGATAAGAACCGTAAAAACTAGATTCACTGTCACATTTGAAAGTTGTAATCAAGCTCGCTTCGACATGTTCCAGTTACTCCACAGATGGCGCTAAATTAAAAAATTGAAATGATTCTAGAAAAAGTCGTGGCAAAAAAAGAATATGAAAGCTTTCTGAGTAACAAAATTATGTTGATCACTAAAAGAGATTTACACCGGGCTCGTCCGGGATTTGAACCCGGGACCTCTCGCACCCGAAGCGAGAATCATACCCCTAGACCAACGAGCCACGTTAGGTGACGCCGAATTTACGGATCAATGTTCACAGCTAAGGATATGATTAAAAATATTACATTTTTGTGCTCAAACTGAGTGTGAAATTCATCAAAAATATTTACAGAATAAAATTTAAATCAGTAATTCAAAGATAATGTTATTCTAAGTATCAATTGTCATCTAAGGACTCAGTTGCATAGAGCAAAGCTGAATTTTCCAGTGTTAACATTAACACTAGCAGTCAAATAAGTGCCTAAACCTACCTATATAACAATTAGAGAAATGTATCATTTACTTTTCCAAAAGATATAAGTATTTTCAGGGAAATACAACACCAATCAGGATGCCGCTTATACATACGTCACAATTATGTTACCTACCTAACTCACAGACGACGCACCAAAGGAAAAGGATAGCAAACATGTATACCTACGTTACAAATTCACATCCTGTACAGTCATCAAATATACTACGAAATATTCAAAACCGCAATAAAAGAAGATTAACTAAAATTCAATCTTAAAATCATCGCCCTAAAGTTGCATATTGAACAAATCCCTCAATAATACAGGGAAATATGATAAAAATTAGTTTTAAACGCAAAATAAATCGGTTAACCACCTCAAACCACGTGCAGAGATAACCTGTAACAGTTAATGCCACGACACCACTTGGAAGGGAGCCAACTACACACAGTTGTCTCATGAAATGACAGACGCGGGTCGCATAGCAATTTATTTTTCTGTCTGAAGGCAAACCGGTTATTTTTCCAAGATTAAAACGGGAAGTAATAGATCTAGTTCGATTTTACAACTGCCAACCAGAGTATAGCGGTTTTCTAATTAGATCTGAACACTGTAATAAGAGCTGATTTGTCGTCCGTCTTGACCTAAGTAGCTACAGTGCTTACAGAATCCAAAGTTACTGCTGGAAGAGTGAACTACTGGACTATGTCCCGTTTGTCATAATCACCACGCTTCACAAGTAGATTGGAGATAGTTGCAGTAGTAAAAGCTTTTAGTTTGGATATTACTTAGGTATATCTAGTACAGGTATAGGTACCTACCTCCTCTTACGTACATGCATACTCACGTACATAATAATGAACGTACATCATACATAAATACTGTCGTAATTTCTATGACAGATGTGCTCGTAATAAAAACTGAGATAAATATCTTTAGCCTCTAGATCTCTACACAAGCGCACATCCGTTCCGATGAAAAATTGAAAATTTCTATGAATAATACGAGCAGGCATTAGATATTTATTAGCTATTTCGCTTATCTTTTGATCACGAAATATTGAAAACCAACGTTACGTTTAATTTTCTAAAATCTAAATAGGAATGGAAAATAAAGCCCTGTCGAAAATCTTATAACTACCTACTAATAAAATAAAAACACTTTTTGGCCACCTGCACCGAAAGGAGAGGTATATGAACAACCGACAGCAGTTATCGTAAAGTGTTCATTGCACTTCCCTTAGAGTCTATTCAACTAATTGAGGTCAGGTACCAGCAAACACGCAAACACATGCATAATTACCTAGGTGCCTATATTTTTTGCGATGCAACAACGAGCAACAATTACCTACTGATTATTCAAGATTCAAGAGCAGCAACAAGTTTGGACTTTTTGACACAAAAGATGACCATCTTACGACCATAATCGGCACCTATAAAAGCATTCTGCATGGTAATCTGCTTAACAGATTCTTAGAAGTCCAGATCAAAATGTAGGACTTTTTGGAACAGTAGCTCTTTGGTAGAAACGATCGGACTGCCGTACCTACTGAAGCCGAGCAGTTGCAATTGTTTTGAGGAAGTACTAAGTACCTATCATTGATTAACCCGTCGAGCGTCCGCGTTCCTTATGATCCAACGGGTGCACACGTGACATTTGGGGAAAGAAAGAAAGGAAATGCATTTATTTGGCCATTGGCACACGAAAACAAGGATCATTACAATAGAAATAAAAAATACAGTCAAAATAAAAACAAAAGATTAATAATAGATTTTATAAAAAAGAAAGCAGCATGGAGCATTTTTTCTTATGATCTACAGGGTGCTTATCAGGACGCTCGAGGGGTTAAAGAATAAACAAATAGAGAAGTGTAATAAGGCGCCGTTGGGTGACCTAAACGCAGCAGGCATTGCACACAAATAGCCAACTACTAAAAACCAATCATAAATGACCACATAACTAGTTTCATTGCTAACCAACTTTTAATGGCATTTACATAGACGTAATCATTGAAATAAGTTGGTAAAACTGCACGATATGTTACTAAGGTAAGAAATTAAGGATACATTAGATTTAGGGTCCCGGATTTTCGCCGTAATTGATCGATCTATCGAAGCGTGCAATTCCAAGATGCAAAGGAGCAAATCATCCAAAACACATTACAAATCTGAGATGGTTTAAAATAGATTGATATTTTTGCTTTGCTACACTACAACATACACGAGAAAAAAAGAGGGAAAGCACTTTTTAAATATTCTAAGCTGAAGATGGAAAAGAGCTTTATACTTCATTTACTTAAAACACTTGTCTTTTGACCTAAATTGCCAACTTAGTAACACCCCTGTGACTATAGGGCAAGGGTAGAAATGACGTACTGCGTATGTTAAACTAGGTCACTGAATACAAACAACATTAATTTGCCCACCTAACTGTATGGTATTATTTATTTTTCGTAAGTATTTAGTTACGGTTAGAGATAGGTAGACATACTAAAATGACTCGTCTATCTCGTAATGGCTGTTTGGTTGTACATTTTTGACAATGACCACTCATTATTCAGCCCGTTACGGACTTCAGCTTAACCGGAAAATTGTTCAATGAGTCTTGTACTCAAACCCTGAGAACAAAGATTTTCAGTGATTGTTTTTAAAATAGCAACTGGATTATTCAATTCCATTGTTTATAAGACACATCACACCACGTTTCTGGTAAATATTATACCACACAGGTATCAACGGTTTCAATTTACGTAAGACACAAATATTTATATGATCTGCAGATAGTTACGGATCAAAGCGTTGCATGAGCATCCAAGTTATTTGGTATGCAACTGTAAGCAAATAAAGAATACTTCAATACAGAGAGACTGAACAAAAGATATCGCTTTACAAGAAAGCGTACAATTTTATTAAAACAATAGGTCTGTTTTAAATCACACACATAAATGAAATAAAGATTCACGTGAAAATAATGAGAAAATGTCTACTAGTTTCGAGCCAAAAAGGGGCTCTTCCTCATAAGCATGTGAGGTAGCGGCGAAAATAAAAATTGATTTAATACGGACCTGGTTAACTATTGTTATACTAAAATTGTATGATTTCTTACAAATCGGCACGTGCCGATAGGGCTAGAAAAAGTAAACGAAATCTTTACTTTCTTATTTGTATACCAAATAATTTTGCTGGCTGACCTATGTGCCTTCCGCACACCTGATTTACGTTGAAAACCCAGTTATCCAATCGACTAACTCTTCATATTGACTATTCCAGGTGCACAGGCGTTTTCCCGCAAACATCCCCTGTCATGCTGGCTGTCCACAATGCTGGTCATCTTCGCGGGCGGCATGGTGGTCAACGGCCTGCTCGGGGAACCGATGCTAGCCCCACTTAAGAACACACCGCAGCTTATTATTGGAACTGTTACATGGTTTGTAATTTGTATGTAGATAAATATATCTATATTATAGAAACTTTCATCATCTTGCTCTTTGACTTTTAAATCGACTTCATTCCCTTCAGTTTTAACCCCTCGAGCGTCCTTATGAGCAGCTGGTGGATCATAAGAAAAGATGCTCCATACTGCTTTCTCTTTTATAAAATCTATTATTAATGTTTTGTTTTTATTTTGACTGTATTTTTTATTTCTATTGTAATGTGCTTGCTTGTCCTTGTTTTCGTGTGCCAATGGCCAAATAAATGCATTTTCTTTCTTTCTTTCTCCAAATGTCACGAGTGCACCCGTTGGATCATAAGGAACGCGGACGCTCGACGGATTAACAAATGATGAGAACCTAGATTCGCTTGAATGTTGTTTTGTAACCATACTTGTTGGTTAACTTGGTTCCCTTGACTAGACCTTTGGGCCTCTGACGAGTCGCAGTTCATCGCTAATGATGAACCGAACTTACTACTCGAACTAGATAGAAAGAGTACAAATAAAACTTCACGTTTCTTTCAGCTTTACATTTGTATTGTTTTCTTTCGTATTTTGCTTAAACGTTTGTAAATATCGTTGTCTATTTCATACGACGTCGTCGCCTGTGTTGTGTTTCGTCGTGTGAGTGAGGTTACCGGAGGCCCAATTATCCTACCCTTCCCCAATCTCCCCAATTCCTGAATCCCCAACGATCCTCAAACTCCTAATCCCCAAAAGGCCGGTAACGCACTTGTAACGCCTCTGGTATTCCAGGTGTCCACGGGCGACGCCGATTGCTTACCATCAGGTGATCCGTCTGCTCGTTTACCGGCTTACGCCATAAAAAAACCTATCAGCAGAAGCTCATAGATAAAAATGATCTAGATGTAGTCCAGTGATAAACATTCTGTACCTATTTGTAGTGACACAAATGGCTAAGTCATAAAGTGGACGTACTGTGTCGTAAAATGGAATAGGGCCATAACAGCTGTATTCAATGTTCGTCCAATAATAATTCTATTACATTCTAAGGCCAGTAAGACACACCATTTATAGCTGACATTTGTTAATGAAACTATAAATTGTGTTAGTTACTACTTATACAAACGTCATGCTTTATTGCCTGTACATAGGCAGGAGCGCTCACGATGTTTTTCCAGGCAGTTAGGCAGGCAACTATTAATTATAAAAAGTGTCTAATTTGAGGGATTTTTTTTTATGTGCTTTTAATTTTGCGGGGATGGGGGAAATCTTCCAATTACTTCTCCCGCCTTGTGTTAGGCGAGGAGTGTCAGACTCTCACTGACTAAAAACCACCCCGTTCCTTCTCCTGCTCTTCGTGCTGAAGCCCCAGCAAATCGTTAGGCGTTCCGCGGCTCCGTTTCGGGCATCAGCCCTATTGGGCCCCATCTGTGGTGGTCTGATGGCTCTTTAAGGACGGTTGATTATATTATATTTAAATAATTTCAGGTACCTCGTTTTCTACACACCATTCGATGTGGGATATAAAGTGGCAAAGTTCCTACCAGTGAAGGTAGTTGCTTCAGCCATGAAAGAGATTTACCGCGCCAAGAAAGTCTATGATGGAGTCAGCCACGCCGCGAAACTGTACCCTAACGCCTACGTCATAATGATCATTGTTGGTGAGTACGATAAGTGTTAACATTTTTGCAAGTGGGTAAGGACCTACTGCCATAAAGGCCTAAAGCTGTACACGATGGAGCTGGTTTTTCTCTATTTATTAAGGAGAGTTTGTTCATTATGTATGATGCCACTTCTTTGACATGTCTTTCACACCTCCCAGTCTAAGATACTCATCATTATCATATCACACATTTAGGAGGATGTGATGGGCTTGCACCAATAAAATAGAAATAATCCGTAATAGCTCCATTGCTGAACAAAGATCTTTGGCAATAACTTCCAGATCACCCAAACTTTACTCATTTCATGTAAAATAATTCTCCATTTCAGGTACCCTAAAGGGCAACGGAGCAGGTTTCACCAAGTTGGTGGAGCGACTGATCCGCGGTGCCTGGACACCCACTGCCATGGAGACCATGCAACCTAGCTTGTAAGTATTAAACAAATTAAGGATTTAACTAGTATTGAGCAGATGGCGCCACTGGCAATATTAAGGTACTACAAGCCTAATGTGGTTAAGGTTTTTAGTACGGTTTCTAGGGTTCAGATTGAAAAGCCTTGATTTTCTTCAAATAGTCAAAAAATATTGGCTTGATATCTTAAATACTAGTACCCATAATGAAGTGAAACCAACTAAAATTGAGATCTGACACGGACAAACGCACATAGTTTTGCAAACTAAATTAGTAAACACAAGGGCCACTCAATAATATGGTCAGTAAATATTGATTTTCTTTCATTTCTTTTCCAGCTACACGAAGGCCTCTCTGGTTGCGTCCATTATTTTCGTGCTAGACAAGAAGACTGACCTCATTTCTGCCCCGCACGCTCTCGTGTACTTCGGCATCGTGATATTCTTCGTATACTTTAAGGTAAGCACCAATATTAAGTCGATTTTTAATTTAACTTGCTCGGCTTTTGAAATGACGTAGTCACTTTTGAAACTCCGAATTTTTGAGATGCGATGCATATTTATACCAAAAATCCTTACTAATATTATAAATCGGAAAGTGAGTTGTTTGTTTGTTCCGCTTTCACGTCGTAACTACTAAACCCATTGCTTTGAATTTTTGCAGACGCAAAGTTAGAAGTCCGGATTAAATTATAGGGTACTTTTTATCCCGGAAAAATTTGATATTCCCGAGGGAAAACGAAAGTATTGGTATAGATGGCGCTGTGTATATGTCACATGGGCTACTTTTTATCCTTTTGTGACGCGAGCGAAGTTGCGGGTAAAAAAGCTAGTATCTAATAAATTCGACATAATATTTTTGTAATTGTGACTCCAACAATCAAAATGTTTCAATGAATACAGGAATTTTTTAAAAGGTCATATATGCTCTTTCAGCTGTCCTCAATTCTCTTGGGCATCCACGATCCCTTCGTGCCCTTTGAGAACTTGTTCTGCGCGCTGTTCCTCGGAGGCATCTGGGACTCACTGGCCAAGCTGCTGGGCAAGGGACAGCCCAAGGAGGAAACCAAAGACGCTAAGAAAACTAATTAGCCAAATTAATAGGTACGCATTTGTACTTTCTAAGGTTTTATGGGTGCTTATCTTTTTATAAAGTGTCGTTTTTGATATTTTTATGGAGCGTCACTCATGGACAGTGGACAGATGGACACTCACAATACCAAAGGCTTAAGATATACGAGTGTTGCCCGCCTGAGAATCTGAGAAGGGGAACTTGTTTACGACAAAAATATTTAAAATACTTTTGTACCCCATAGCTTACATAACATAATTCATTTACATAATTCAATTTTCTTTTCCAGGTCGCATTTTATAATCTGCAACATTTGCGCTACGTAATCAACTGACACCGACAATACAAAATGCGACGGCTTATTGATAAGCATAAAGAAAAGGACACAACAAAAAGGAAAAACAAAAAAAAATTGTAAAACCCTTAAATCCTAAAAAAATGGCACAACGACCAAAGTTTGATTTCATTAGATTTAAGAACCACTAGTCGTAATGAAGTTTATAAATGTTTTTGTTACCTTTTATGTGGAATGCGTTTTACGTTTATTTAGAGTGGGTGTAGAAATACCTTATATTTTAGTTACTGTTCCTACATGCAACTATTTGCCAAAAATTGTGATACATTTAGTATTATCCACCTTTTCGTATCGATTATGCTAAAAACTTGCCATAATAATTGTTATTTTACCTACAAATTATAAGAATGTAAGCATAATAAATATATCTACCTAATTATTATTTTGTTCAATGCTTGCTACACTACAATAAATATTAGTTTCCTTGAGTGAAAAAAAGTATCGAGCATTGTAATTTTAATTCTATTTTTAGTTCACGAAACGAAAATCGACTAAGCCGACTTCCTTTACCAAAAACACCGGGAGATTTCCAATATGGCCGCCTTCCGCCGTCCCGCGTAAATAAAAAATATCAATAAAATTAAATCTTTCTGATTCGGCATGCGATGAAGAGCATTTTTTTTTATAAATAAGTTATCATATCAAAGTAAATGCATTATTTATTAGGATAAATAAAATTGTGATTATTGTAAGAAAGGTCTGACCGAGTTGCGGGGTGCAAGCAACGAGGATCACATCTTTCAACAAGTTAAACTTTCATGACATTAAAGCTATTCTATTCATTGATACTTGGGTATGCTAAAGGAAGCAATAAATTGTTTTTATTATAAAAATATGTTGTTTTATATATTTTTCCCTTATCCCTCCTTTCTTAACCGACTCTTTCGCCAATCAAAAATGGCTGCTAAAGACTTGACCGTCTTGACTTAATTGTCTACCTTGATAGAATCGGAACGATCAGCAAGTTCGTTCCAGTGGGCCAGTTACATTTGTCGGAGCACCGATGATCATTGAGATAGATGTGTACTTGTGTGGAGACCTCTAGGCATTTATAGTGTAGCCTTTGGAGTGACCTATGCTTATCATCAAAATGTTTTAATGTTAAGACTTGTTTAGAGATAAAGGGCTGAAGATCGAGCTCGGTTTCGTGCTACTGGAGAGAAGACTGTATCCATTTAAGTAGTGGACAGAAAGGGTCTGGTAATGATAATTGTATTGTGAACCTGATTGAAAACGAGTAACCTATGGAGTTTCTTGCTCGGTAGGAATCCTTCTTCTCCATAGGAATCATACCTTCGAATGAGCATATAGCTTCACTTTTGATTTTCTGTTGACGTTCAAAAGTGCCATTCTGGTCTAATTGAAATAAATGATTTTGACTTTGATAATTACGATGTTGATGATGAAGAAAGTTGCCCTGTACACCAGACATTACATTCAAAGCTACCTACTAAAATAGACCACAAACCCCATGACCGGATCTTTTAATCGAGAATATTATTATGTGAATCAGTATCATAAGTTCGGAGGATGATAGAAAAGCCGATTTGTGTAAGATTGATTATAAAACCTTTTGATAAAATATTATTCAATTTCGATTAGAGTAATTGATAGCTTAATTGGATAAAGAGAAATACATTACAATAAACTGATACTGCCAACCCGTAATTCAATTGACCAAATGAACTTAGCCAATAACAAATTCCGCATACAGGAAACAAGCACTACGTCTATGTTTATGAACCCTACAATACCACAAGACATTGCAAAGGAAATCAAATGTTTAAGAAACACGCATAGTATGGGGTATGATGAAATATCTACTAAAGTGATAAAGGCTGTAGCCCAATCTATTTCACCTCACCTTAGTTACATATTAAACCTTTCTATAATACAAGGCATCTATCCAGATAAGCTCAAAACTACGATTATAACACCATTACACAAAAAGGGCGATAAAACTATAATGACAAACTATAGGCCAATCGCATTAATCCCAATCATATCAAAAATATTCGAGAAAATAATATACAAAGCATTATATGTATATTTAGAAAAAAATAGAATATTAACTGATGAACAATATGGATTTCGCAAAGGAAAAGGCATTAATTTGGCCATACAAAATTTATCGAACCAATTATTTCTAGTATGGATAGAAACTATCCTATATGTGCCATCTTCATGGATATGAGCAAAGCTTTCGACTGCGTCGATCACAAAAACTTGCTCAAAAAACTAAATTCATATGGAATACGGGTAATATCTCAAATCTAATTCAGTCATACCTTACTAATAGAAAACAATTTACTGAACTTACACAAATTTGTCCTAAACTAAAGAAAGAAATAAAATACACATCAGATACAGCAATAGTTAAATTCGGGATTCCACAAGGGAGTGTTTTAGGCCCACTTCTTTTTCTCTACATAATGATATGCCTAAACATTGTTGGACATCCTTTTGTATTATTTGCTGACGATAGTACCGTCACAATTAAATGTGAAAACTTTGACAATTATGAAGCTGACATTAAATACTCTGACATTAATAATTGAATGGTTAACATATAATTTAAAAATTAACATACAAAAAACTAAAATTATACACTTTCGACAAAGAGCACCAATTAAAGACATCGACGTTAATTACCAAGGTGAACCAATTACCTCAACTGATACTACCAAATTTTTAGGTTTGAATATTGACCACAATTTTTCGTGGAAGACCCATTGCGACGAAATTTGCAGGAAAATAAATACCTCTGCCTATGCTCTGAGCAAATTAACAAAAGTAGTCAATCGTGAAGCCGTATTGAATGCTTATCATGGATACGTTGTTTCAAAATTGAGATACGCAATAATATACTGGGGTAACTCTGTTAATAAAGATACTGTGTTTAGAGCACAGAAAAAGTGTATTCGAGCAATATGTAGTATAGATTGCACAACAAGCTGTAAACCGTATTTTAAGAGCCTCAAACTAATGACACTTCCATCACTCTATATATATGAAACATTAACTTACGTCAGAACCAACAAAGATTTATACACAGTTGCTTTCAAAAGTGACTATAGGAAATTACGGGATAAAAACAGATTAAAACTCGAGGTTCGTTATGGCAAAACAGCCCTCATGAATAAAAGTTTTCTTTGCATGGCACAACTGTTATATAATAAGCTACCAGACAATGTAAAATCACTCAATTTAAATCAATTTAAAAGGACTGTACGGAAAATTCTCATTGACAAATGTTATTATTCAACAACAGACTTTCTAATTGATAAATTTTAACATTACGTATTTCTTGACATTATTTTAATATTATGTATTTCTTGACATTGTTATTATTGTTTGTATTGAATTTGTAAACCTTAATTATTGCTTGCTATTATATTAAATCTGACAGCTTTTTCACCATATTTTGCATGCCAATAAACGGGCAAAATGTATACGGCTACTATATTATATCTGTAACAACTTATTTGTAAACACCTACATTTTATGCAAATAAATGATTTGATTTGATTTGATTTGATTTGATACAATCTTTGATTATTCTAGGAAAATATGTGACTACCTATGCATACGGAAAATGAAACTGTTTTAGAGCTGCTTGCCTGCTTGTACTGCCTTATGGCGATGGTAATAGCAGATGTTCACGGCTGACTTGGGACATGAACATGTATTCATCAGTACCTACTAAAAGAATATCACATCTGTACCTATATTTCACTTGTTTTTTAACGTGTGAAAGAAAGTTAATTTCTTTCTTTCTTTATTAAACACATTTGTCATCAGTGCACCATCCCTGCTCCTCTCGTAGACCTGAGAACCAACTAAGGAATATTTGGTAGACACCTGGCAGCCCTGACAAACGTGAACCTTTTAAAGCCATCTCCTACCCATCCACTACATGTGGAGATTATGAGAAACTCCCTTATGTACCTAGAGGAAGCCTTAGTCCAGCTAATAACGGTCACAGGCTAGTTATACCGTCAAAGGACTGGTGTCTGACAGACTTCAAATTCTTAGATTTCTAATCACCGATACGGAGCTGCAGAGAACTTAACGTGTTACCGGGGCTCCGGCTCGAGCGCAGGTGTAGGAACGGGGTAGTTTTTAGTCAGTAAGAGTCTGACACTCCCTCCTCCCTCACCCAGGCGGGAGCAGTCATTCGATGATTTTCCCCCTTAAAAAAAAAGACTTCTAATTAATGTATGAAGTCAGAAGCATGTTTTGTACTTAGGTCATACTTGATATGGTTTGTGATAATCACGACCGCTGATTTGGTAAGTGATAATAAAATTATTATCAGTAATTCATTAGGTACCTACGTACGTATATAGCCCAGCCCCCGATTGTAAGAATTAAATGGAAATATAATGTTTGGAGGTGGCATCAAAGCTTTATAGACCGCCGGATGGTACCTAATTGCTAATTTGTAAGCAGCCGACATATGCCATAGCCAAAGTACACCTTCAAATACCATATGCATACTAGGTACCTAATAAAAACAATAGTAGATTTATTGAAACGACGAGCAAATCTAAAAAACAAATGAATTTACACCTACAACAAATATAATTCCAAAATCAAATAGCAGAATTTCAGAATTTTTTTTTTACCCAAATCTCTCCTAAACTTACGTTATTGTTTAATTAA